CTTGAGTTTCCCAGATAATTAATTTTAAGTCACATTGCCCTCTCACTCCCTTCTGCTACCCCCCACCCCCAATTCCTTCTGCCCCTCTCCCAAGTCTTCATTGAAATTTAACTGAAAATTTGGATAGGAATGTCTCACCCCCAAACTTTTGAGAGTAGGATGCGATGCTGTCAATTCATATGGCCCTTCTAGCCATAATTCTTTGTGTGTGTTATAAATTCTAGCCTCTAAGCTTATGATTATAATCAAATTTTGGAGGGAGTTCTTGGTTACACTAGTGGACAAGGTTAAGGTGGAAGGTGTGTAGTGAGCTCTTTGTCGACCACCATCTTTGAGCTGGGCACTGTTGTTTGCCTCTGCCATTCAAAAGGCTTAGTTGGATGCAATACAGTTGTTGCTCTTGTTTTCTAGGCGGGAGATTATGTCTCTATCTGGCAGGCTGCGAACCTGTGCTGTCTCCCCTCCAGTCACAGTTCGAGCATACTCACTGTAACAAGCCCAGGTCCGTTCCAGTTTCACTTTGTTGGCCATGACTGAATCAGGAAGAAATGGTTTGAAGGCCTGGTTCAGTGTCTGTCCTCATTGACCTTAAGTGTCATGCAGGAACCAATTTGTCTGTTTTAATGATGGCTATAGCCTTACCTTAGGCCGACCCATAGTCAGAGCCTCATAATTGTTCGGTGAATGAAGAAGGAAGAGCTAGCTAGCATGAGAGAGGATGTGATTACTCTATTTGGGGATTCATTGAATTCAAGAGTCAAAAAGATGCTTGGAGAAATATCTAATAAGAAACTGAGAATATGACTCTGAAATTTAAGTCTGAAAATATTGAATGAGGAATCATCTGTGTGAAAATCAGAGCTGATAGCCCGAGGGGGAAAATCAAACCCCCACATCCAAACTCATTGCCATTGATCTATTCCAACTCAAAGTGACCCTACAGGACAGAGCACAATGGCCCCCGTGGGTTTCCGAGACTGTAAATCTCTATAGGACTACAATTTCTCTTCCTCCCACGAAGCAGCTGCTGCCCATGGTTTCAAACTGCTGACCTGGAGGTTAACAGCACAAAGCATAACCTACTATGTCACCAGGGCTCCTGTGTAAGTCAAAGTAGGAATGAAAATGAATGAAGAGAACCTATGAGAGTTCAGGTAGACGTTTAAAGGTCAGAAAGAGGAATCAACCTGTGAACATCACATAGAAGACAATAGGTAAATAGCAGTCTATAAAGAAATTTACCGTCACCAAAGCATCTTCTTTCACTTTTGATGGCTTTATCAAAGTACAACTTATAAACAATTCACCCATTGTCAGGATGTTCTTCCTTCAACTTTTGTATCAAAGCAGTTCACTTTTGAATGCCTCTGCACAGAAGTTTCAGTTGACACCAGTAGTGAGAAAACATCTGGAAAATTCTTTTTAAAAAAAATAAAACTCTCAACAAATAGATGAGAAAAACAACAAGAGAACAAACTTACAGCTTCCCGGCAGAAAATAAACATTCCTGGCAAATAATATCAAAACTATCTTCAAATAGAAATACGATTATTTTGCAAAAAGAATATAATATGTATTCAGGTTAGTTTGTATAGTGTTGCTTCTTTTAGGAAAAGATTGAAAGCCAAACAGAGCAATAGAGGTTCAATACCTGTAGGCATCTGTACACAAAGGAATCCTTTGGGGGTGAAATGAAATGAGGGCAAACTTAGGTACTGGTAAGGAACGCCCTCTAAGATGTAGGGCATGACAAGGGGCCAAATATAATCTTATTTGCCTATATTTTTGTAAAGAAAAAAAGAAAATTCATAAGTGGTGAGTTGTGCCAACCTGGCCGATAAACACGTGGGATTAATTGAAGGGCAGAGGGATATATGATTTGGTGAGCCTCGCCTGCCTTTCTCGTTCTTGGGTCTTTTGCTTTGTGATAGTCGCACCAGGGTGCAGCTGCATTAGCAGTTTCCTGCTTCAGCTTGGAAGGCTGACTTCCTGCAAGATATCCCCAAGGAGAAGCCACATGGACCTACCTGATGCAGCCCTGGGTGCTGGAGCACCTGTGTGGAGACCCCTGCTAGCGCTGAGATGTTTACACGTTCGCTGACTTGGCTTTCCTCCTGCAGTCGGTATCATTGCGTCTGCTTTGTGAGATGGAGGAGGACTTTGTGGACTGGTGTTGGGCATATGGGTTAATGGGTGAATATTGGACTTGTGGGCTTAGGCAGCACTGGGTTGGGATGTTTTCTTGATGCACCGTTAACCTTTATATAAAACTCTCTCTTTCACATGAGTTTCTGTGCATTTGTTTCTCTGAAATACCTAGACTAATACAAGTGGGAAACATGATTTCCAATAAAGTGAGTAGGTGTGGGGGCAAAATGAGGTGGATGGGAGTAGGAATGAAAACTAGCCTCCTTTGGATATGGTTTTAGATTTTTAAACCATATGATTATATTGCCTTTGAAAGGTATTGTGTAGGAAGTTAAATTGAGTATACTTATGGGTATAAAATAGCACCTCTCTCTTCGTAGACTTAGCTGGAAAAACAGAATTGGAACAATGTCAAGTTGATGCTGTCGTGGACACGTTGGATGACCTCATGTCACGTTTTCCATGGGGAGAGAAAAAACAGGACATAAAAGTAATGTGTTTTGTTTGCTGTAGTTATGTCATTATGAATCCTATACCCCTGTCAACCACTGTGCTGCTGTTGTCAGGCGCCAACAAGTGGGTTCTCACGGATAGCTAGCCTGTGTATAACAGAACAAACACTGCTCGGTCCTGCACTGGCTTCCCAATACCAGTTGCTTCAGGTACTGCCTTTGCACTGGACAGAGCCCCAGAAAAGATAAACATCTTGCTGCCAATGTTTTGAAGACAAGTAGGGAAGAGAAGGCAGAGGGTTTCATTAGCATACAGAGTGCATATGCTTATTTAATCCCCCTATTTTTCATATCATGATGACACAACGCCCAGTCTAGAATCTAGCACCCTCTGGTGGAGTAGTGATCTGTAAAGTCAGCGCTCCCAAACCACCAGATACCTGAGGGAGAAAGACGGGACTTTGATTCCCAGAAGGGTTACAGTCTTAGAACCTCACAGGGCCAGTCTTACCCTGTCCAGTAGGGTTGCTGTGAGTTGGCCATTGACTCCGTGGCAGTGAGTTTGGTCTGCGTCTTTATTGGAGCCTTTTGCAGTGAGTCTCTGGGTGGTATAAATGAGTAAGTGCTCAACGACTAACCGGAACATTGGAAGTTAAACCCACCCAGACACACCTCTTAATATGGTGTGGCAATCAATTTCTGAAAGGTCACAGCTTTAAAACTCTATGGAGCAGTTTCCCCCTGTACACATTAGAATAATAGAGGGTTTTAATTCTTCCTACCATGAGTAGGAATCTACCGACAAGGTCCTTTTGCTAACAAAGTAGAGGAAGCAATTGTATGAGACAATCTCAAGTTATACTTACTTTTTTAAAAAACAGCTTTCCACAGATAATCTTTTTTACCCCCTCCCATCCATTCTGTCTCCTTAACTTCCATACCAGAAGGCACCCTCTGTCATTTTTGGGGTTATTAGATTGTATGTTGGACATTGGCTTGGTTTTCAGACTTCCCATTGCAGGTACACTCATCTGCTTTGCAGTGTCAGCGTTTGTTTGCCCTTGTTTCCTTCTGTTTCCCACTTCCTTGTGATTTTATCTTTTAATAGTCATTCACTTATTTTAGTTTTTTCACATCCAAGATAATTTATTATATTGTTCTCCCAGGATGATTTTCTTACAATTGATTTAAATATTGATCTGCTGTAAAATACAAATATCCATTGTAATATAGGCAGAAGAATATAAAGTCAATGAATAAGACTGAAGTCTTAAACAAAATATAGAATTCCTTCCCCAAAATTGAATTTATTATAGTTTTGGAGTGAAAACAAAATGATATTTATGTCCCATCCACCATCTTTATCCAGAATTCTAAGCAAACTTTTGCTTTTATCCTTCTTCTTTGTATGGAATCCCAGGCATTTATTCTGTGATACAGTACACTAGGGCACATTTCACTATATTTTGTTTTAAAATGTGTTTATTGTTTGTTTAAAATGTGGAGTATATTATCGGGGCAGGGATTACTCACTGGTGTGTAATCAACATTACTTAAGTGTCTTTTACGTCCACAACCAAGCCCACTGCCGTTAGGTTGATTCTGCCAGAGTGACTCTATAGTAAAGAGAAGAGGCTCCTGGTAGACTTTCAGAGGCTATAA